CTTTCATATCGGACAGGGTCAACCATAAATGCCTCTCCGCCTCCAACAGAGCTGACATGGACCGCCCAATAGCATGGGCGGTCTCCTTGGTGGAGCGGAGAGCTAAATCAGCGGTTCTCCTCAGCTCTAAGATGTCATCTGCTTTGACTTGCTCGACTATAGCTCGCAAGCGTCTGCTCTACCCGGGGCATCGCTCTGTACCCCCATTCCCCCCCCCCCGCCACATTTCCATAGTAATCAGAGGTGGGGATGAATAACCGGGCCGAGAATGGTTTCTTTCACGATCTCGACACCTCAGTGTGGAGATCGGGAAAAAACGGCAAACTCCGGCGCGGAGGTAACGGCTTAGCACGCAGAAAGCGTTCATCAAGTTTACTTTCCTGTGGTTCAGCCTGTTTCTCTGCGGGCCACTCGATGTCCCAAATCAAAAATAGTACATGAATTATTTCTAAACTATAAAGATGGTTGTAAGCAGAGAAAACAAGCCAAGATATTTTTCTTCCAAAATCCTTTTTGCATACTCACATTCAAAAAATAAGTGTGATATTGTTTCCAAATTAGAATTACAGAATGTGCATTGTGAAGAAACTTCCAACTTCAATTTAGAGAGTAAAGAATTACAAGGATAGTAAATATGAAGCATTGTATTATGCTGGTGGTCAGAGAACACCTTTTCTCACACTTGCTCATGCTCGCGGATCAGTAGCGCACTGTAAACACATCTTATGTGAAAGCACAGTGAGCGTGTGCTGCTTCTGGATCGCAAAACATAGTTTGCAGACGTGCTGCAAACGGATCATGTGTGAAGCAGGCGTAATATTGTGACTACCCGTGATGAAACCTGTTTGGCCTCCATTAATGATAGAAGGAAGTATTTTCAAAGTCCCTTTAAGACAAGTCACTTCACTCAGCAGCCCTCTTTGAAACACTTCTCAGGCATGCGTGGGGAATGGGGAAACTTTAAATTCTCCAAAACTGTTCGCCAAGCTTACGATTAAATTTCATACTTGAAATCACCAATGAAACCTGACATCCACTGTCTCATAAATGTTGTTTCTTATGCTCAAATAGTGTTATTTTCCAGCCAGTTCTAAGTGCGCGTCTCAGAAAACACTGACTGTTTCTATAGCAGCCGGAGACTCCAGTGATGCAATGACTTTACCGATTAGTGATTGGCTCTTTTATTCAGAAGGCGGGACTGTTCTGCCATATTGCTTAATAATAATAATAATAATAATAAATATATATATAAACAGAAAAAAACAAATAAATAAAAAGTTAACATAAACATCTTTAAAAAAATAAATCACTCAAATGAATAATTACACAAAAATGTCAACTTCAAAGAAAAATTAGGAGGTTACCTTTACATCAAAGTCATTATTTTTTTCATCAATACAGTTGTTTTAGCAGCTTTCTTATTGAGGGATGAGCAGAGAGATTCATAAAATAGTTTCAGATCAATACAAAAAATCCTAAAATTGGGCATACAATCAATAACTTTACATTTGTGAAGATGAAATAAGCCACAGAGAGTTAACAGTTTGAACACATCATCCAGCTCCTTTGATCCCAAATCAAAAATAGTACATGAATTATTTCAAAACTAGAAAGTTTGTTGTAAGCAGAGAAAACAAGCCAAGATATTTCTTTCCAAAAATCCTTTGCATGATCACACTCCAAAAAAAGAAGTGTGATATTGTTTCCAAATTAGAATTACAGAATGTGCATTGTGAAGAAACTTCCAACTTCAATTTAGAGAGTAAAGAATTACAAGGATAGTAAATATGAAGCATTGTATTATGCTGGTGGTCAGAGAACACCTTTTCTCACACTTGCTCATGCTCGCGGATCAGTAGCGCACTGTAAACACATCTTATGTGAAAGCACAGTGAGCGTGTGCTGCTTCTGGATCGCAAAACATAGTTTGCAGACGTGCTGCAAACGGATCATGTGTGAAGCAGGCGTAATATTGTGACTACCCGTGATGAAACCTGTTTGGCCTCCATTAATGATAGAAGGAAGTATTTTCAAAGTCCCTTTAAGACAAGTCACTTCACTCAGCAGCCCTCTTTGAAACACTTCTCAGGCATGCGTGGGGAATGGGGAAACTTTAAATTCTCCAAAACTGTTCGCCAAGCTTACGATTAAATTTCATACTTGAAATCACCAATGAAACCTGACATCCACTGTCTCATAAATGTTGTTTCTTATGCTCAAATAGTGTTATTTTCCAGCCAGTTCTAAGTGCGCGTCTCAGAAAACACTGACTGTTTCTATAGCAGCCGGAGACTCCAGTGATGCAATGACTTTACCGATTAGTGATTGGCTCTTTTATTCAGAAGGCGGGACTGTTCTGCCATATTGCTTGCACTTTCTCGCATTCATAAGTCATAGGAGTGCACCGTCATGGTATATCTTAACGTCTTTGTTATTTTCTCCATCTGTAGCGCAAAAATTTTGGAAAGCAACTTTAGATCTACGTTCAACGAGGCCTATAAGATCCACAGTTCTCTTTGTCATTTGCCCTTTTACAAAATAAGAGCCTCGCAAAGAGACTGACGCAACATATTTGAAGGATTATTAAGGATTGATACTGTATTACTCAATGATAAGTTTACATAAATTCACATGAAAATGCAAAAACTATGACTAATGTCTGTGAACATGTTGCAAACTCACTTTTCCTACGTGTACAAATAAAGTAAGCTAAACTAAGTAACTGATACTGATTTGCTTTTGGATCCTTCTCATACTGTTAAGGTTAAATTCCTGAGCTGGTGCCCTGAGGATCATCTGACACACATGAAGTGTGACCAAAATCCACTACACAATTAGTGGCATGCGTGAAGATCACTGCATGCTTGCATTGTGCATCTGTTCATTGCATTTTTAGCTAAAGTGTTTCCTTGTCGTTGTTGTTTTAGAGATCACTGATGTGTCATCGAATCATGTCCCTGTTCAAAAACACGAGGAAACAACTGAAAACGGCATCCACCCTGAACTGGCCAAGGTAATGCTTTGTAGTTCTGTCGTGTTACGTCCTAGACACACCATCATTACATCCTTTTTCTGAAAAAGGGAAACGGCCTTGATTCATGAAACTAATGTCTGTGTAAATCAGTCATTCAGGCTGTAGGCGTTTACATTAAAGTCTTAAATAAACCGTGTGTTTAAATCAGAGGGCTACAATCAGGGTAGAAAAAGGACTTTTATTTTTTTTATTTTGATGGTTTTGGGTGTAAAAATCCTGCTAACATTATAAGTGCACCTTACCCATACAGAAAAATATATATATTTTCAAAATATACAAAGAAAGGTCAAAAATATATTTGCTAAAATATGCTTCATAATCTATTTGTGCAAATTTTCTACTAATAATTTTTTTGGCCATTTATATATATGTATAATATTTATTTATTTTGAAAATATGTTTACACATTTAAAATATATTTTCAAAGTGTACAAAAAGGTCAAAAATATATTTGCTAAAATATGTTTCATAATCTATTTGTGCAAATTTTCTACTAATACATTTTTTGGCCATTTATATATATGTATAATATTTATTTATTTTGAAAATATGTTTACACATTTAAAATATATTTTCAAAAATATACAAACAAATGGCCAAAAATATATTTGCTAAAAGATGTTTCAAAGTATATTTATGTAAATATATTTTCTACCAATATATTTTTGTCAATATATTTTTTTAAATGTATAAATATATTTTTTGAAAAGCATACAAAAATGTATTTTGACGTCTATATATTTCAGTCCAAGAAAATGCATTCATATATTTGATTAGATTAATCATTATTCATCTACTTTTGATCTCTAGTAGGCCATCAACATTTGTATTTAGCTTAAATATAAGCTACTGAAATTTATTTTCTTGCCATTTAGAAATATATTTTAGTATATGAAGGTTGAAAATAAATATATTTTCTGCATCAAAAATATATTTCATTGAGCTTCACTGTTTGCAACATATATTTAGCATATACTTCAAATACATTTTGTCCACAAAACAATATATATTTTTGCCATATGGGTAAAGAAACACTATATCAAATAAAAAATGCAGTTTGCGATCCTTTCAATGAGTGATTCACTCTTTTACTGTTTAGAATCTTAAAAACACCTCAAGCCCAACATTTAAAGACATAACCCTGTGATTAATGGTTTGTCATTAGAGCATTGCTCATAATTAACGCTGATGTTGTAATGTTTCAGTATATTTCTGAGACCGAGGATTCGGCGAGAGCTGCCAGAGGAGAGGAAAGACTGAACCTGTTCTCTCTGGATCCTGATATTCCTGTACGTCTCACCGCCAGCCGTGTGTGATTTACAGCAGCTGGGAATCGACTGCATTGTTGGGGGGTTTTGCAAAGGAAATTTCATTGTGGCTGTTATTTTGGTATGTGAGGAAAGGATGCTTTGCGTTGAAGGTTTTGAGGAGCCCCAGGATGGAGTTTGGGGACTCTGCTTCTGTCCAGCCGTTCGAGGAGAAACTCGGGAAGAGACTGATGATCTCCTGCCGCTCGCTCAACCTCTCACTGCAGGGCTGCGTCAACGAGACCGATGCTGAGCCAGTGACTAATGTACGATCTCACGTCCTTTATCACAACAGAAAATTCACTGGCAGAGGATAGAATAGCTGAATAGCACATACAGATAAAATAAGAGTGACAAATAAGCTTTATCATTCAAAAGAAGCGGTATCATTAAAATTGCATTTGTTTTTAATATTTAAGACACTACAAAAATAATTTTCGTAATTGGTATTTTTTTTTATTGTGCATAGTTTTTTTTTTTTTCAATTTCAAATATCTAAACATTGTTAAATCATGATGCATTTACTTGAGAAGCAAAAGATATTAAAGGGTTAGTTCACCCAAAAATGAAAAATAGGCTGCGTTTTACTCCCCCCCGAGGCATCCTAGGTGTATATGACTTTCTTCTTTCAGACGAATCCAGTTGGAGTTATATTAAAAATGGTCTTTGATCTTTCAAGCTGTTTAATGCCACTCAGCGGGTGAGCCGACCTCATACGTCATCCGCCCGGAACTGCTTCCGTGTGCAACAGTGAGCGCAAGCTACATTAAAGTGATTATTACGTTTTGAATATGGATATTTTTCTTACAAAAACGCATCGATTCGCTACAGGAGGCTTTTGTTCACCCCCCGGAGCCGTGTGAGACACTTTTTTATGGATGGACGCTTTTTATTTCACTTCTTTTGGACTGATGCACTGCAACACCTGCTGACTGGCATTAAACAGCTTGAAAGATCAAAGACCATTTTTAATATACCGCCGACTGGATTCGTCTGAAAGAAGAAAGTCATATACACCTAGGAGCCTTGGCGGTGAGTAAAACGCAGCCTAATTGTCATTTTTGGGTGAACTAACCCTTTAAGACTTGCTTTCTGAAAAATATATACTGTTAGTGAGTTTATGCTTAAAACAAGAAAAAAACTGTCCATGGGGTAAGAAAAAGAAAAGATTTGTAATTTTTCTTTCCACATGTACAGATGTTTTTTTCTTAAGTATACGCTTAATTTTAATAAACGAGAATTAATATCTTAAGTCATTTTGCTTTCTTATGTAAATGTATCATGGTTTAAGAATTTGTAACAGAAAAGACAAAAACAAAATAAGTGCTGCGTTTAGATTGATTTGATCTCTAACAAGTCAGAAAAAACATGAGGTTATTGATCGAATCAATCTACTATTTTATTGCAGCCATCACTCAGAGGTTACTAATGATTAGTAATATGCATTGCTAAGAACTTCATTTGAACAACTTTAAAGATGATTTTCTCAATATTTAGATTTTTTTTTTTGCACCCTCAGATTCCAGATTTTCAAATAGTTGTATCTCAGCCAAATATTGTCCTATCCTAACAAACCATACATCAATGGAGAGCTTATTTATTCAGCTTTCAGATGATGTATAAATCTCAATTTCCAAAAATGGACCCTTATGACTGGTTTTGTGGTCCAGGGTCACACACACACACATATATATATATATATATATATATACATTCTGTCTTGTGGGGAATACTTGAAGATCTTACGTAGCTTCTGTAGGCCAGTACTAAAAACAAACATTTCTGCCAATTCTGCAAAAAGCTTTATAAACTTAGTAGACAAATAGGGTGATCAAACATATAGACTCAGCCGTATGTAGTGTATCATTTATTAATCTGCATATACGTATGCTAAAGCACTGCTGTCTCTCTTCAGATCGAGCCTTTCTTCGTGTCGGTTTCTCTGCTGGACATCCGTGAGGGCAGGAAGGTTTCCGCTGACTTCCACATGGACCTAAACCACGAGGTTGTGCGGCAGATGCTCAGTAGCTCTGGCAGTGCAGGAGATCAAGGCTCGGATGGTGCTCCGCAGGAAAATGGCCTCAGCTCGCCTGCAGAGAAGAAAAGCGAGGACTGCCAGTTGAGCCCAGAGCTGGAGAACTGGCTGCACTTCACCAGTCAGGTAACAGCGCAGGAGCCCTTTAATGTGGAGATGTGCTTTCACAGCCAGTGTCACCGGGTATAGATCTATGTGTTTATGTGGTTTATATGGTTGATCGTTCCTGCAGGCGATCTTTTCCATCACAAACCCGCACACAGACATCGTGATGGTGGCACGGGTGGAGAAAGTGCTGATGGGAAATATTTCCAGCAGTGCAGAACCCTACATTAAAAACACAGATTCCAGCAAGGTATTTCATTTAAACGATTGTCTGCTGTTTGAATAAATACATCTGCTAAATGCATAAAGGTTATGTAATGTGTTTATATATATACACATATATATTTGGACAAAAGTATATGGACACCTGGACACCTGCTGGACACCAACATAAACTTTAATGACATTGCATTCTAAATACATACGGTAGACATTAATATGGAGTTGATCCCGCAATTTCAGCTATCCCAGCTAACAGGGAACGTTCTCACTAACGTTATAAAAATGTTAGGACAAAACATTCTTAGTAATGTTTATGGAACATACTTATCACTTTAGTTATGTTCTCATAACTTTGAGAGAAAACATTCTTAGAACAACATTCTTTGAACGTCCACATGCCGTTGTTTTTACTTGATCAATGAATGTCCTTATAACGAGAAAACGTTCTGAGATCAACATTCTCAGAAGGTCCTTATTAAAGCAATAAGCCCCGTGAAGCCGTGGTTTACAGTGAATTTATAACAGCTAAGGGCCGTTGTTAGGCATGACGCGAAGCGGAGCTGTTATAAATTCACTGTAAATCACGGCTTCACGGGGCTTATTGCTTTTATAAAACGGTTATTCCATATACGTAGTAAGGTTTCACAAAATAAAACAGAGCAAATAAAGTGTAATGATATTAATAAAAACAGTATTCTTCCACCAAACAATGTAGTTCCTCAGAAACCGTTGTGGTTGCAACAAAGTGGTTGCCGAGCAACAGACAAACGTAAACAAAGGTGTGTGTTTGTAGAGTAATTTACAACAGCTTCGAACGCGGCTCAGCCAATCAGAATCAAGCACCGGAACTATACGTTTCATAAGATGCTTTTTGTACTTGATGAATGTTCTTTATGTTGAGAGAAAACGTTTTTAGAATATTACAAATAAATTTTAAAATAATGTTATATTTTGGATACAAATAAAATTAGCAGAACAATGTTTTAGTAACAATGTTTTAGTAACCTTGAAATGCCATTCTAATCACAACAAGAAATCTGGACATTTTAACATTCCTAGAATATTAAAAATAAATGTTCAAATAACATTTTAGGTGAAAACAATTATGAGAAATGTTTTTGTAACCCTTAACTAACGTTCTAATCATGACAAACAAAAAAACATTTTAATGTTTTTAGAATATTAAAAATAAACGTTCAAGTAATGTTATATTATGTAGAATATTACAAATAAATTTTAAAATAATGTTATATTTTGGATACAAATAAAATTAGCAGAACAATGTTTTAGTAACAATGTTTTAGTAACCTTGAAATGCCATTCTAATCACAACAAGAAATCTGGACATTTTAACATTCCTAGAATATTAAAAATAAATGTTCAAATAACATTTTAGGTGAAAACAATTATGAGAAATGTTTTTGTAACCCTTAACTAACGTTCTAATCATGACAAACAAAAAACATTTTAATGTTTTTAGAATATTAAAAATAAACGTTCAAGTAATGTTATATTATTTAAAAAATAAAGTTCTTAGAACTTTGTAAGATATGTTTTTGTGACCTTTAAATAATGTTCTAATTACAACATTTTAATGGTCTTAGAATATTAAAAATACATGTTCAAATAATATTATATCTTGGGTGAAAATATATTTTTTTGTGCACTGGGGCACTTGTTTGCAAAGGTCCCTTGGTTGTCACTAAATGCCACTAAAGTAATGCCATTTAGACATTTGTATATGTGGCAAAAGGATAATACACAGAATATTGCTTTAAGCACAAATACTCTATGATCTTTTATTTTTGTAGTAAGTGGAGATTTCCTCATTAATTTTGTTCCCTCAAATACATTGAAATCCCGTTTCTCTGCTTGTTCCAGACTGTCCAAAAGATGCTGAAATCCAACAAGCAATTCTGTAGCAAACTTGGAAAGTACCGAATGCCTTTTGCCTGGTCTGTAAGGTGAGTGAATCCCAATCCATTCCCTGGTACTTCAGCTTTGCCACAACAAATGCTCAACAACAAGCTCTTGCACTATTAGAAGGTTATTAATAACATTTCTTCCGTCTGTATAATCCAGGTCAGTATTTAAGGACAACCAGGGCACAGTGGACCGGGAAAGTCGCTTCTCTCCGCTCTTCAAACAGGAGAGCAACAAGATTTCCACAGAAGACCTCATCAAGCTCATCACAGAGTACAGGAGGTACAGACTCTGCAGTCACGCTCACGAAGCACACGTGATCATAAATGACCTCAGTAAAATCAAGTGTTTTTTACAGGGCAGAGAAGGCCAGTAAACTCCAGATCATCCCTGGAAACCTTGAAATAAACGTGGACTGTGTTCCCATGGAATGTCCCAGTACGTCTAATACAGCAAACGTCCTCACATCCTCAAATGCAGTTTTGCTCCTGAATGTTATTGGTCACACTCACCTGCATGCATGCACGTGTTCCTCAGACTGTGTGACGTCCTCGTGTGTGGCTCTGAGGCCGTTCCAGGACTGCGGTCTTCACGCTCCGACGGTGGAGGTGGACGAGTTCCTGCAGGACTCTTCTAAGTTTGCTCAGCCTTACAGAGTCTACAAGAATCACATCTACATCTACCCCAAGCACCTCAAGTATGACAGCCAGAAGAGCTTCGCAAAGGTGAGGAAGTCACATACACACCGGACCTTTCGAGTCGCAAATACTGCGAAATGTGAATTAAATCTTAAATCTGTGTAAACGTACCCATGTCAGACCAAATGCTGTCCCAACTAGACAAACAAGGCTGTCTGAATAAAGAATTTCAGTAACACTTTAGTTTAGGGACCAATTCTCACTATTAACTATTAACATATTTTCATAGTTTATTAGTACTTATAAAGCACATATTAATGTCTTATTCTGCATGATCTCTTATGAATCCTAAACCCCATACCTAAACTTAACTACTACCTTACTAACTATTAATAAGCAGCACATTAGGAGTTTATTGAGGCAAAAGTCACTGTTAATAGTTAGTTCATAGTGAGAAATGGTCCCCAAACTAAAGTGTGACCAAAATGTCAAAATTATCGCACAATATTGCTGAAATATTAGGGATTTGTGAGTTCCCAGCATGCATTACAGCATGAATAAATGATGTGGTTACTGTAATGGGATTATTATTTTACTATTTGCTGACTTTTTTCTAAACGTCTGTTGTTGTTTCGTCATTATTGTTGGTTATCTGTTGTGTCTTTTTACATTTTTGGACTGTCACCGTTCTTGAGGTTTGTGTGTCAAGGTCTATGTACAAGCTTCTAAAACTTATATCTTCCCTTTGTACGGTGATTGTTCCTTCGGAAACTAAGATATCGTATTAGGTGTCCTATAAAATATGGTTACCAAAATAATAGATCAGTTTATTGTGTTACTAATTGAAAATAAGCTGTAATTGCCTTGGTGAATTTATTGGCTTAATGAGATATTTTGCATTTAGTGAACGAACAAATTCAACCTGACAAAACAAAGTAGTGTTACTTGTGACAATTTTTAAGGGTTTAATAGTTGGGAGAATCAAAAAATCTTAATGCATCATGCTGTGTTGACAGTTTTCTCAACAAGTGTCATTGCAAAAATGGCTGTGGGAAATTAAAAAAAACCTAAGCATAAGCCATTGTACAGTAGTACTGCTGCTTGTATTAGCAAACACCACTAATATAATATAATATAATATGCAATTATGCATATTCGGTCAGGGGAAGTGCTGCGTTTAGATTGATTTGATCTCTAACAAGTCAGAAAAAACATGAGGTTATTGATCGAATCAATCTACTATTTTATTGCAGCCGTCACTCAGAGGTTTCTGAAAATATTTAGCTTATGCATAGTTACGCTGAAACTAGTTTTTTACTGGTGCAATACTATGGCGTTATTTTACTGTCAAATGTCGAGAGCGCACTGTTGTAGCGCGAAAGTACATTGCTATGATGCGCGAGCGCGGATTGCCTTTGCTCTCGCACTAATTTACGCACACGGAGGAGAGATTCGCGATTGCAACGGACACGTTTTGACTCGTAAATACGATCTATCCGACATGACTTGAATGCACCATAAGTGTGCGCACACTCTCTGGGAGAGAGCAGTGCATATCTGAGAGCGCTAGTCCGGTCTAGTGCGAGAGCAAAGGAAATCCGCATGCGAGCGGAGATATTCGCGCTCGCGCATCATAGCAATGTACTTTCGCGCTACAACAGTGCACTCTCGACATTTGACAGTAAAATAACGCCATACAATACTGGCTTAAATATTTTACACCAAAACTAAGTTTTAACTTCTGACTGAACATGCTGCAATTGCTGGAGGTCTAGCGAAGGATTCTTTGCGGTTTTCCGCTCTTCGTTCTTTAGCATGTCATGCTGTGTCTGTTCTTGTTTTATTTGATAGGCTCGAAACATTGCCGTTTACGTGGAGTTCAGAAGCTCTGATGAAGAACATGCCAAGCCACTTAAGGTTACATAAACACAAGTTTCCATCAGTTTCCATCAACGTCTGCTTTAGAATGTGACTCGTGAAAACAAATGCTGTAAATCAATTCCTGCAGTGCATCTATGGAAAGCCAGGAGGTCCGGTGTTTACCACGACTGCCTGTTCCACCGTTCTGCATCACTCACAGAACCCAGACTATTATGATGAGGTTTGCAAAAGTGCTTTAGCAGCTTCATTCTGAGGGTTCCATTCAGATGAAAGTTATGGGTACTTTAATGTTTGTCGTGATGTGTTTGATCAGGTGAAGATTGAGCTTCCCGCACATCTTCATGAGAAACACCATTTACTCTTCTCCTTCTATCATGTGACCTGTGACATCAATGCCAAGACCAGCTCTAAGAAGAAAGAGGCTCTGGAGACTCCAGGTATCTGCGCATGCACATCAAGCCCCGTTCTCCTGTGCTGTGTGTGGTGAAGTGCAGTCGTTCTTTGACTGTGTGTGTGTGTGTGTGTTGGTTTATGTTACAGTGGGCTATGCGTGGCTGCCTCTTCTGAAGGATGGACGTGTTTCCTCTCAGGATTTCAGTATTCCAGTCTCGTGCACTTTGCCTGATGGATATCTACACATTAAAGAGCCTTCGTCCACCAAAGTGAGCACAAGAATCCTGAAAAACAAATAAACAGACCGTTTAGAAAAAGAAAATAGATATATACAGTACGGTATATTTGTAGCAATATGTAACAGTATGGGTCAAAATTATTGATTTTTCTTTTATGCCAAAAATCCTTAGGATATTAAGTAAAGATCATGTTCCATGAAGATATTTTGTGAATCTCCTACCGTAAATATATCAAAACTTAATTTTTGATTAGTAATATGCATTGCTAAGAACTTCATTTGGACAACTTTAAAGATGATTTTCTCAATATTTAGATTTTTTTTGCACCCTCAGATTCCAGATTTTCAAATAGTTGTATCTCAGCCAAATATTGTCCTATCCTAACAAACCATACATCAATGGAAAATAGATATATACAGATATTAGTATGATGATGATGATGATGATGTAAAGTAAGGATGAAGACAGAGAAGTGATTCAAAGGCAGCTTTATAGGTCACATGAACCAGAACTCAGTGTGGACAGTTTTCACAGACAGTGATTAAGTTATTAACATCATAAATCTATAGCAAAAAAATTAATGTGCATTGATATTAAATGACAGAAAACTAATTTCTAATACAACAACTGAAGGGAGTGATTGCATATTTGACATCTTTCTCTCTTCTGGCCAATGTGACCAAACTCTTGATATTTTTTGGAAAGTTGTAGATTTTTTCTTTTTCTGTTGGAGCAAATGTGAATGCAAAAATTATATTTGTTTTTAACCCTATGTAATAAGGGTTAAAAAATTATTTATAACCCTATGTATAAATGTGATATATGTACATATATTACACTTCCTTCCATATATGAAATATATTGTCATATGGGTAAACTTATTAATGTAAACTTTAGTTAATGTATTAACTAACATGTAATAACAATGAACAATACATTTGTTACAGTATTTATTCATCTTTGTTAATGTTAGCTAAATGTAAACACAGTTGTTCATTGTTAGTTCATGTTAATTCACAGTGCATTAACTAATGTTAACAAACACAACTTTTGATTTTAATAATGCGTTAGTAAATGTTGACATTAACATTAACTAAGAGCAATAAATGCTGTAGAAGTATTGTTCATGCTTAGTTAATGTTAACTAATACAGTTAATTACTGTTAACTAATTAACCTTATTGTAAAGGGTTACCGTCATATGAAGTAAAAACATATATGAAACTTGAACACAAATTGGAACAATTTCATATATTAATATGATATATATCTACATGTATGTGTAATATATTTTTGGATTTACAGTATGTGTGCATGTATATCCAACCTAAAACCTGCCAATACATGTTGATATTATATTATATTATAACATTATAATATTATAAGTAAATATAAAAGTTAGAAATGTATTTGTAAAAAAAAAAAATAAGAATACAAAAACATATACAGTATATGGAACGTTCCAAAACAGGAGTCCTAAAGACAACAAATGATGATTCATTATAGTAGTAGTATTTTTTTTCTTTTTTGTTTATTTATTTTCCCCCATGTTTCTGTGCAGAATGGCTCGGATGTGAAGTGGGTCGACGGGGGGAAGCCGATCTTCAAAGTGTCCACTTTGGTGCTTTCTACAGTTTATACTCAGGTTGAAAAGAGCCACAATCTCCATTCAATGTACCATTACCTTGCTCATATTTTGGGATCTCATAATTCCCGTGCATGTGTTTGCAGGACCCCCATCTAAACCGCTTCTTCCAGCAGTGCCAAAAACGAGAGGCAGACCTCTCTCAACCTCCTACCTCGAACTTCCTCAACTGCCTTAAAGTAAGTGCATTCAGGGCGATAACCAGGGGCCAAAAACTGAACCGTAATTATACCTATAAATGCAACCCGTTCGATACATATTCAACTTATTATCTAGACATGTAGCTGTTTGCAAAAGATGTTTTACTTAAGATCCACAAATTACAGACAAGGACCAAACTGTTTACATGCTATTTGCTTAAATTTACACTTCCTTCTTTAGAAATACATAGACAGATTGTGTTTTGCCATTTTATACTGTTTCTCTGTTTTGTCTGTTTTCTGTGAGGGATAGACATTTTTAAATTTGTTTTCATATTAATATTCATTGCGGCATGAATAAGCATCAAAATACATACTACAGTAGGAATATATGTGAGCCTGGAGCACAAAAGCAGTCTTAAGTCGCTGGGGTATATTTGTAGCAATACGTAGCAGTATGGGTCAAAATTATTGATTTTTCTTTTATGCCAAAAATCATTAGGATATTAAGTAAAGATCATGTTCCATGTTTTTTTGCACCCTCAGATTCCAGATTTTCAAATAGTTGTATCTCAGCCAAATTCCTTCCTATCCTAACAAACCATACATGGAAGGAAAGCTTATTTATTCAGCTTTCAGGTGATGTATAACTCTCAATTTTGATAAATTGACCCTTATGACTGGTTTTGTGGTCCAGGGTCACACACACACACACACACACACACACACACACACATATATATATATATATATGTATATATAACTGCATTACAGTACACTGTACACTCTAATGTAATAATATTTGTCAATCTAAGAATGATTATCACATGTCGTACAGTATGTATTCGACCAGAGCCATTCACTTCAGCCTATGATGAGCAGATAGATCGGTTTCCACTAATATTTTTTAATTCATTATTGATGAATGCATATCATTTCCATTATAAATGAGTATTATTGCAAACTGTTCTAAAAATTTTTAATCCAATTTAGAAGACGCTGTATTTAAACTAGATTTTTGAATTTTCTGAAGTGAAATCGGAATACAAATATCTAAAGTTTCAAATTATGTGTACGTATTGTTTAACTAATATTCATCCTATATATCTGTGAAAATGTAACATTTTCAGGTGAATATTCAGTCCATTTTATTTCAACTCAATGTTTTTTTTCCCCTTTCAGGGCCTCCTGAGTATGGAGAGGATTCATGTCATAATTCGCTTCCTTCCTGTTATCTTCAACCAGCTCTTCAAAGTGCTCACCCAAAACGACACTGATGAAGTGACCACCAGCACCACCAGGTACACAACCCCAGCACTCGCTCTTCTGAATGCAGTCAATCAACACCGCTTTCAGATTTGATTCTCATTTCAACCTCTTTTTCATCAGGGTCCTGGTCCACATCTTAGCTAAGTGCCATGAGGAGAACCTGGGCCACTGTTTGCACTCTTACATAAAGGTACATTATATGGCTCACGCTTACGTGTGCAGTGTATCATTTCACTCAAGCATGTCTCAGTTACTGCCGATGGCTAGATCGAGACACTGAACTTGTCTAATAAGTAACCATAGGTGTAGATGTGTGGGCATGTTCAAAAACACACACATGACCGCAGTATCCATGTATGGTTGAAGACAGATTTCCGCAGCTTGAAGATTTCGAGTCTTAAATGTAAAATCAAATCTCTTTTAAACACACTTTAAAATGTTTTTATTTTTATACTGGCAAAAAAAAGAGCTGCACAAGGACTTTTATGTGTTTTGGCTATTTTATTAAGTGTATGAAAGATTATTTATTACATGGCTCTCTAGGATACTTGATTCTGATTGGCCTGTTGCAGCATTCAGCATGTAAATATTTGATAGTCAATGTGTGAAAGATGATTAAGTCCACCATATACAGCAATTCCCACTGTTTGAAGGCCGTTGTTCCCCGAAGTGATGCATACATCACTTCGGGGACACTGTACTGTACTGTAATGAGCTTGTACACTGTACATTATCCCCTACATAAACCTTTCCAAACGAGATTTACAAGGAGGCATATTTTTGTTTATTTTATATAACCAAACATATGACTAAAGAAAAGGTCGACAAACTCTAGCAGGGCAATAAAGTCGCTGGTGCGAAGTTCTTGTAGAAACGTGTCATTCATTATGTGTGTGAACGAGAGCATGGGACACATTTGTGTTTCTCTTTTGTTTAACCAGTTTGTCTTTAAGACTGAAGCGTGTGGCTTCAGAACGGTTCACGAAGAGTTGGCCAAGGGCATGACCTCTGACCTGAAGAGCAACGACCAGTCGGTCATACGCAGTATCCTGAAGGTGAGCTCACATGAGCATCTCTCTCTTACAGACGTGACGGACCATTTTAAAGCCTGTCGACTGATATCTGTTTGGTTCCCTGCAGTTCTCGTGGTTCTTTCTCGAGATCATAGTGAAGTCGATGGCGCAGCATCTGCTCGACTCAAATAAGCTTACGGTAAATATTGAGCCAACAGACGTGAACTCAGGCTTAAATCATCTACTCCTATTATATTTTAACAGTGGCCAGTAAACCTAAAATAATGACTTATAATCAGTGTAACGCTATAGTTTGAAGACCAGTTCTCACTATTTACTAGTTGCTTATTAGCATGCATATTACTAGCATATAACTGTTTATTATATAAAGCACATATAAATGCCTTATTCTGCATGATCATATTCTAGATCTCTTAATTCTACCCAATACCTAAACTTAACAACTACCTTATTAGGGGTCGTCTTATAATCAGGGTCGTCTTATATTCGGGCCAATACGGTAATAAGCAGCAAATTAGTAGTTTATTGAGGCAAAAGTCGTAGTTAATAGTTAGTTAATAGTGAGAACTGGTCCGCAAACTAAAGTGTGACCATATTCAGAACTCTTGGTTTGATTTTACTTAAACTTTTGACATAAATGTAAAATTACACTTGACAATTTTAAGTACAATTTTATGCAGCTGTGATCTACCTTTAAACATTTTCGCCATAACACCAACAAATCTGAATAAATAAGAGGTGTTTCAGAAAGCAGACGACTTAAGCTTCCTGAGTGCTTGCAACTAATACTGTAATAGTGTCTAATACTTGTGTTTAATAAGTAATGTATAAATAATGCGTTTGCTCAGCTTCCTCGACCACAGCGATTTCCTGGATCTTTCCAGAGTCGATTGGAAACCCTGATCATGACGATGTCCGATCACATCTTCTGGAAGAATAAAGAGCTGGCAGAGGAGACACGCAGCGCTAATATGGCCATAGCGGCCTTTGTGAAGGTCAGGAACAACACACTGCTGAGATCATTATGAAAATTTCACTTTTAAATGTGTGCACGACAAAGATTCAAATGAAGTAAATTAGATGCAGAAAATTTTCAACTACATCAATAGGTTCATTTATTTTGTACAGCATATGCATTTGAAATTGGACAGTGTCCCTTTAAATTTTAATTGAAATATATGTATTTCTCATCCTCAGCGGTGCTTCACATTCATGGACAGAGGTTTCACCTTCAAACTGATCAGTAACTACATAAACATGATCACAGCCAGTGACAATAAGGTACCTGAACGTTCTCACTTTTCTGTTTCTCTTCAGCTGTGGTAACACTAGACTTTGTGCTTTGATTTCTATTCAAATGGACGCAGAAGACCAGAAACGCAAACTCATGAAGAAGTCTTGCATCTAGTTGTGTATAAAAGTTTGGTGAACACTGACCAGCGAATTTGTATGACAAGAGGATGTGTGACTCGTAGAGGATCTGAACATGACAGATTCAACTCTTGGCTCAATACAAACAACACAAACAGTCCACACAAAAATGAAAAGTCGAGGGTAATTTGCTGTTAATTTGCTCACCCTCAGGCCACCCAAGATGTGGGTGACTCTTTTTCTTCAGCAGAACAGTAAAGAAGATTTTTAGCTGAAACCGCGGTTCCTTGGTGATTCATAAAATGCAAGTCAACAGCTGCCGTCACTTTGAGAGTCAAAAAAAGCATATACTGTACAGGCAACACAATATTAATACCCGTGGCTCCTGATGATATATATTGAGGTCTTATGAAGCGCAACTGAACATTATTTACAGCATTATTACCTGTAATCCACAGCCTCATGCAAACAGAGAAATCCGATTCTTTTCCATGAACTGATTCTTCCGGACAGGTTTGTTTCAATGGATTGGTTTAAATAACTGATTCACCAGTTAATGTAATCATGCAATGACAAAATGTATATGCAATTATAGTAATAAAGCACCAATAATGATGTGAAATGTGGATGTTTTACATGTCTAAAGCATATAAAGTGAATTAACTTTTCTTAATCAACTCACCTTTTTACATAATCAATGAGAAACCAGAAAAACATTCATTTCTCCCCTTCACTCAAGTGCTTGGTTCACAAATGCACATATCAGCGGCCCTTCGGTCCGAGTCGAACTGTTCATTCAGTTCAGTGACTGCTGGAGGAACTGGAGCGCTGAATCAGTTCATTCATCACAGGATCAGATACGCCGCTATTTTGGCTCATTTCAAGTCGGAGTGACTGTCAGGCGTCTGAAAGTCAGTTTTGATTGAGTAACGTGTAAATCTGTGCTGCTCGAGACGCAAACTGTTTCAGACGATTCAGTCCGATTTGGTGAACTGGTTCATCCAGTTCACTAAAAAGAATCTGTTCAAAGAACGATTCATTCACAAACTGGACATCACTCTGGACTGTTTGCTTGAGGCTCTGGATTGTAAATAATAGTTTCTTGCACAGACTGATCGTTTCGCTTCATAAGACCTCAATATATCGTCAGGAGGCACGGCTATTAATTTTGCATTGCCTGATGAGCTTTTTTATTCTACAAAACTGGCAGCCACTGACTTGCATTTTATGGATCACTAAGGAGCACGGTTTCAGCTAAAAGTCTTCATTACTGTTCTACTAAAGAAATACAGTAAATTAACAGCAAAGTTTCATGCATCTCTTTAAAGCTACAGGTTTGTGGAAACAAAAATCCTAGAGCGTGAGCTGTTTGTTGCAGTGTAAGAAGATATTTTACTTGCTCAAAGTCTAGTGTGATTACGGCTTTAGTGTTAAAACAAGGACACCACACATTAAAAGATCCTAGTTATGAAGAACTTTTGCTATGTTATGACTGACATGTATAATATTGTAATGTAACTAATTACTTTCAAAAGACAGTAACTAGTAATATATAATGTATTACATTTTGGAAGTAACTTGCCCAACACTGTTTATGTATCATTTCTGTGTGTTTTTGTCTGGCTGTTTAATTCATTGACCGCCTCTGTTCATGAAGCTCTCTGTTGCAAAGATGATCACTAAAGAACCGCTTTGTGTGTGCACAACGCGTTTTGGGTGCAAATGTTATTTTTCCAGATGCTGTGTGAGCTGAAGTTTGAGTTCATTAGGGAAGTGTGTAACTATGAGCACTATGTCCCTCTGAGTCTTCCCATCCCGTCTGCACGAATCACAGGTCAGAGAGCACCACAAACTCCACCTCTGTGTGTCTCATGCACGTAACTTCATGCTTACGTCCTAGTCCTATTAGCATCCAGTAGACCACGCCACTGATATTCTCTGTCTCATTTCTCTCTGTCAGACAAGGCATCACCGGAAACCCAAAGTGCTCAGGGTAACTATTAAGTGTTTTTATTGAACTTTTCTTTCTTATTTGTAAAAGTTTGACCAGTTCCTCAAAGCTGTGGCTTAGCGGATAGCATATGCATTCATGCCAGTTTTCTGCATATCCTATAAGTAAATGCTTGGACTTGGATTAAACCACTGGAGTTGTATGGATTAATTTTAGACTAACTTTGTATCCTTTCTTCAGCTTAACATTTAAACCCAATTGACTTTCTTTGTATGAACAGAAACATTCTGCAGTTTAAATTTTGGGTGAACTATTCCTTTATAGTACAGTCATAATCCAGTAGCCACTGTACTGCCATGATGAGATTACCTGACAAATCAAATACTTATTTTATCTCCGTAAACCCCCCTATTATCGAACATGTTCACAATTTTGGTTGCTTTTGCACGATACTGCCTCCACGCCACCTGGTCCCTGTACCACAAGGCCAGTTTAGGTGGCTAGCAGGGTCATTTTTAAATTAGTTTGCACTAGGGATGTGCGCTATGACTAATTTCACTGCTGTTTAAATGAAAATTTTGTAAATGACTAGTCAACTAGTATAAAAATAAGAAACCCTTAGAATACAGTCAAAAAAGTTGTTTATATGCGATCCATTTGAAATACTTGAACTATGAATCAAAGTGTCAAATAATCCTAGATATCTTATTATCTGAATTGATCTTGTTTACCATCAAATGGTTAAAATTTGCAAAAAAAATGGATGAATGTAAATGCAAATTCACTCTCTGTCAGTAGGTGGCGCTTTTGAACAAGCAGAAATACAGCTGTAAACAAAGCAGCGCTGCACTGATAAACACTATTTTATTAGGCATTATATGGTGATAACATGAAACACTTTTCTGAAGAAAGTCAATTCCCTTTCATTCATAATGTTTCCCGCTTTAAACCAGTAAATCATACGCTCCCACACCTCACTTGTCTTCCAAGTGGACATTTCTCTGAGCCCGCATTGAAGAAAACGCATGCGTGCAATGTCTGAGGTGAAAGGAAATTATTTTGTTTTTCACTTCAGATATTCACTTTTCAAAAAAAAAATTTTTATTTTTAAAATGTAAAACATTAAAATTTCTACATTTCGACTAGTGCAGTTCAGTTTAGTCGACTAGTCTCGCCCATCCCTAGTTTGCACCAACCCTGAGTTTTAAAGCAGGAAGAAAGTTGGTTAGCTTTAACCAGTGTCCATCACCATAGTAACTTATGCTCCATGGCTAACCTTTAGTGAATGAAAAATTAATATATGCTTTAAAATTTAAAGAAGTAAAAGCAGAAGTTCCCCAAAATACTCATTTACCTTATACCAACTTATTGTAGATTACACTTATAGTGTGTTCTCGAGTATCAAGAAGGGGGCAGTCATCAACAGTTATGTGGTTTCTTTCTCTCTCTTACCTCTCAGTGGACTTTCCGGAGTATAGTTTGACGGAAGAGTTCTGCAGGAAACATTTTCTCATAGGACTGCTGTTGAGAGAGCTGGGGCTCGCTTTGCAAGACGAGCAAAACCTGAGACACCTCGCCCTGGCCTGCCTGAAGAACCTCATGGCTAAACATTCATTGGACTCCCGTTATGCCATAAAGGTGAATTTTGACAATGATAGCAATTAAACAAAACATATACTTGTTGTGCACCATTTATGTCTGTGAATTGTAAACTGATTTTAACTGTATTGTGTGTGTGTGTGTGTGTGTGTGTGTGTAGGAGAAACAGGCACGGATAGCCTCTCTGTACCTGCCTCTTTATGGTCTGATCCTTGACAACATGCCTCGCTTCTTCCTCAGAGATCTGTTTCCAATCTGCCTGACGGCCAGCGACCAGGTAAACATGCTCAGGATGTTCGTTTATCAAATGAAGTGAAACAGCATTGTTCTTATGTTTTTGTCAGGAACTCACATCAGTTGAACAGGATCTGAAGTTTCAACAGGGATGTTAAATACTTCATTACTATACTTTATTGTTAATTTTAATTTAGATTGTAAACATATTTGACTGCACAATTCTGCAATTGTTCAGTTAGAATCAAGTATTCCTGAGAGCAATGTAAAGGCCCTTCCACACTGAATGCAAAGCAAACTGGAGCAAAATTTCAGACAGGGAGTCTCACACTCATCCAGGCCACGCCATATACCCACAACAAATTCTGAAACCACCAGCATTACTTTGAATAATATATTTTTTAATTTTATCCCAGCGTCCTTCTTAACTATTAAAGGAAGGGGTGTAAGAGCGGCACTGGGGCCCAGTAGTCTACCAACATAAAAAGACATTGAGAGAGAATAACTGCACTTGCCCTATTGAAAGTAGTGCTTAAATTACTGCAAACCCAAACATTGTTCATAGTCATTGGACGGTCAGGGAGTGCCAGTGTGATGAAGATCACTAGTGATGGAAGCAAAATCCCATATAAAATGCATGTAATATGAGGCCAAACCCGGAAGCTGTGTACTTCGGAAACGGTACGAGGCACCAGTCAACTCTTCATCGTTGCATTCGTCTCAGGGTCAGTTGCCACGCCATCTGTCCCAGTCACATGTCCAAGGAACATTGTTTCCTGAACTTCTTTGGGTGATGGTGTAGTCTAGCATGACATATGGCCTGGTAGAAGACGTGCAGAGACACTTTAAAGTCCATTACATTAACCAGCAGACCAATGGTCACTGCCAGAGCCCCTGGTTTCTTTGGTCTGGCCTCAGGTGTCAGCTCCATCTGCCAGTACCTGCTTTGGAAGTCAAGGGACCTTAACCATCAGGAGCCAGCGGTTTGGTCCAGGGATCATCATAGCAATGGAATTCCACACAAAACCTCCAGAAAGAGTCCTTTTATCAAAAACTAGGACCACTGGGTCTCATAGACTATTTGAGTTGTATCTCTGCCATTTCCTGGACTTTTTGCTCTACAGCTTGTCGTTTGACAAGGGCCTTGCAGTGAGGATACAGACGGATAGGTTGTGCATCACCTCTGTCTACTGTGCTCTGCATCAACCCCATCTGCCCACATTCTTTGTCGTCCATTACATTAACCAGCAGACCAATGGTCACTGCCAGAGCCCCTGGTTTCTTTGGTCTGGCCTCAGGTGTCAGCTCCATCTGCCAGTACCTGCTTTGGAAGTCAAGGGACCTTAACCATCAGGAGCCAGCGGTTTGGTCCAGGGATCATCATAGCAATGGAATTCCACACAAAACCTCCAGAAAGAGTCCTTTTTCCAAACTAGGACCACTGGGTCTCATAGACTATTTGAGTCGTCTCTGCCATTTCCTGGACTTTTTGCTCCACAGCTTGTCATTTGACAAGGGCCTTGCAGTGAGGATACAGACGGATAGGTTGTGCATCACCTCTGTCTACTGTGCTCTGCATCAACCCCATCTGCCCACATTCTTTGTCCCAGAGCTGCAAAGATGTTGTGGTATTGATCAAGGATTGCCTTAAAAAGCTGATGTTGGTTGTTATTGAGGCTTGTGCATGTTTTCAAGCTTGTACCTGCACATGTACGGAACAGATATAGAGAAATTTAGCATTGCATGACATCAGCGATACAAGATCTAATCCAAAGTAGAAAATTATGTACTGAGAATGCACACTAATGCCGAGGTCTCTGGAAAGTGCTGGATAACAGTGAAGTGAGGAAAGGAGCAGGAATCTGTTTCAACAGCCTTCAACACAAACACTTACATAGTACTTTACATTATAAACTTTGTTCATTAAAGCTACTTTGGGGGAAAACAATGCACATAAATCCATATCCAAAATTCTAAATGTATCTGCATTTTCACAACCCCAAGATTTTAAAAAACACTTCCCCATTATTTTAGACTTAAATTACATCAACTTCTCTCCCATTCCATGCAATAAATAATAAGATTTCCTTCACAGGGTTCCAGAGATGATGAGACTTAAATTACATCAACTTCTCTCCCATTCCATGCAGTAAGTAATAAGATTTCCTTCACAGGGTTCCAGAGATGATGTCAGTGTCGGAGTAGGTTTAGCGGGTCAGGTGACCCATGTTTTACGCCATGGGAACTCGATGGATGCGTCCTTCTCCAAGGAAGTGCTCAACTCCATTACAGGTATAGAGGTGTTGGTGTGCGGATGTGTTTCATAGACTGCTATTCATAGTCTATTCCTCACACAAATCTATCATGCTTTCAGAATATTTGGAATATATCACAACGACTGCTTTTATGCTGGTTTGCTCTTCCCCAGCCTTTTCGTCATTGGCCGTATCAACCGCTAACAATGCAGACTCCAGAGGCTCTCTCATCAGCATCGAGTCGAACCCCAGCAACAGTGACCGCAACAGTGAGAAGATGGATGGATGTGAAAAGGTAAGTACGTGAATTTTTGACTGACAGCCAGACAGATAGAGCCAACATAATAACACATGAACAAAAACAGAAACTCAGAATGAAAGATGACAGACACACAGAATGAATGCGTGTTTTTTTTCTCATATACCAAGAGAATAATTGTGATTACTGTACTCAGTTTGCCAGGCCGCAGTCTCTGATTGGGTTTGGTGCACGCTTTGATAAACTGGATCAAGCGGAGACCAGAAGTCTGCTCATATGTTTCCTTCACATCATGAAGACCATTTCAGAGGGTGAGACTTTAAATCACTGAACCTTGAAAGAAGATGTTTATTGCACATGTTCAAATCTCATAGCATCTGTAATGGCCTGTAACATATGATACACTGTTGTGAGGATGATGTGCTCTCCGTGTTGCAGAGGTGCTGGTTTCATACTGGCATCGAGCCATTCACCAGGAGATCAGTGATTTCTTCAATATCCTGGAGTGAGTTACTCTTTTCATAAAGACTAATAAATGGAGGAATAAAAGAGAAAGAAAAGGAATCAAATCCTTGTGTGTTTTCATTATTTTGCGTATATTTCTCTTTTGAACAGACTATGTCTCCAACACTTCCGGTTCCTTGGAAAGCGCCACATTGCCAGGTAAGATCTCTCCTCAGTTAGCTGTGTTTTATGTGTGCTCCGGTGCGTCTGGATGAATGTAAGCGTCACCATTTCTTTTCTTTTCTCTTCTTTCTGTCCCTGATTGTATATATGTGCTCGAAAGAGGGAGAGAGGGAAGAAATGTTAGAGAATACTCACTTTCATTGAATTCCAGTGCTCTGAAATAAACATCTCTCAGAGAATCAAATTATAATGCATTATGTGTAATTTAGTAAAATGAAAGAATTGGTTCTGATGGTTCTGGGGAGTTTTTGCCAGGCTCTGCATTGACTTTGACAAGCCAGTGTTTTCAATTACACTGGGTTCATTAAATCAAGCCTGAAAGTTATAGGACATTCCTGCTTTGGCAATAAATGTCAAATAAATTATTTCATTTCTGAAAAAGCCACTCTCTTTAGCTTGTTTTTGTTTTCTACAATAAATGGTATATTTAATACAATACAAAACTGCTTTTATCCCAGCATAACATGATCAGTCACAAACTTGCTGACTTGATTAGTAATACTGTACTTAGTACGCAATGTCTTAAATAATTCTGATTCATTTTGTCATAATATTTGTTTTAAACTTTTCAAAATCATGAAAATGTCAAATTTAATTTGAATACCAAATTTTGAATTTGGTATTCTCTACTGAACCGTGGCTATATGTGATCTTTTCCCTTAAAGGGGTCATATGATGCAATTTCAAATTGTCCTTTCTCTTTGGAGTGTTACAAGCTGTTCGTGAATAGATAAAGTTGCAAAGTCCCTAAAGTTGCAAAGACTAAAGTCTCAAACCCAAAGAGATATTCTTTATAAAAGTTCAGAGTCAGCCACGCCTACCTAAAACGCCTCGTTCTAACACGCCCCCACATGTCTACATCATGATGTGGGAAGATTTGCATAACGCCGCCCAAATGTTCACGCAAAGAAAGAAGGCGTAACTTTGATTCTCGCTGTAGTGTTATTGTTGCCGCCGCCATGTCGTGAAGACGCTGTGTTTGGCCAGCCAAAAGAGGACGACATCCGCTAGATAACCTGCCTAGATCTGATCCATGCTGGTCGCTGAGGAAATACATCAACTTCACAAAGGCTGTTTCTATAAAGTGGGGCAGTTCCAACTTTGCAAGGACAGTCTGGCGCTTCTGACTCACAGCCTGGAAGTACGTTTTTTGAATATTTAAAGGATTTGCCACTGATGATTCGAACGCGAGTTTTGAGCAGTGTAGAGTAGAACAAATCCAAAGAGATATTCTTTATAAAAGTTCAGAGTCAGCCACGCCTACCTAAAACGCCTCGTTCTAACACGCCCCCACATGTCTACATCATGATGTGGGAAGATTTGCATAACGCCGCCCAAATGTTCACGCAAAGAAAGAAGGCGTAACTTTGATTCTCGCTGTAGTGTTATTGTTGCCGCCGCCATGTCGTGAAGACGCTGTGTTTGGCCAGCCAAAAGAGGACGACATCCGCTAGATAACCTGCCTAGATCTGATCCATGCTGGTCGCTGAGGAAATACATCAACTTCGCGCTGTGGATCGGCTTTCACCGTGGACGAAGCGGAGTCCAGCCCAGGGTCGTCACATGTGGTTGCCGCAAGCCCGCCGGATGCTCCTTCGTCGAATCCGCCGGCCGCGCCGTTCTCAAGCCCCCGGCCTCCACTCACTCAATCCCGCCGTGTGTGGCGCTGTGTGTTTCGTTGTGAAAGCGAAACTACTTTGTTTGGTCTTCTAAAAGAGGACACGACTAGAAATCAGTGGTTAAGTTGTATTTACAACACTGTTCCAGAACAGTACAACCCAAATATTCAGATGTGTGCAGCGCATTTTATGGAGGATTGTTTCCTGATCCTGGTAAAGTAACGTTAGCCTACAATGCGTCTGTGCACAAAGGCTGTTTCTATAAAATTGGGCAGTTCCAACTTTGCAAGGACAGTCTGGCGCTTCTGACGCACAGCCTGGAAGTACGTTTTTTGAATATTTAAAGGATTTGCCACTGATGATTCGAACGCGAGTTTTGAGCAGTGTAGAGTAGAACTTGTTGTTTGTCGTTCCTCCGATCACAAATGCAGACATGGTTTTGTTTAAGAGGCACGATGTGACTGAAGCAAAATGGATTTAACTTGCTTGATTCACAGTACTGATGGGAGAAACACACTTTTTTGAAACTTTAAATCGATTGAACCAATGGCTTTGCAAAATGATTCCCTGAAGCGCTCAAAACGCCACATGCTGGGGATAGAATGTGTAAATGCAACAAAAACATGCATAAAAACATATTTTACAAACCAATTGCAAATGCTTTATTGAAAGTGAAGTCTATGAAATGCAGTTAACAAATCACCAAATACCATTAAATATGAAGTTTCTCTATGATATGTGCTACTGTACTTTATTAATTTGCAGGGTTTGTTTTGTTTGTTTTATGGAGGGCTTGGCTAATAAGAGTGTTAACTACTATTGCTCATTTGTATTATACAAATTTATGATCAACAGTGTCTACAAATGTATACAACTGATCTGAGATCAGCTAAAAACCACTGATTCACATGGGCTAAACATTTCGACAACAGTTATGATGTAACAAAGCCTTGTTTACTGAAATCACACGACTTTGGCAGTTTGATATGTGCTCTGAACCACTGGTTGAAACATAATGATCCGTTGAAGCTTCACGAAGCAGTTCTTCGAAAGCACCCGTCACTAATTCACAGTGCAGTCAGTAACAGGTTGCAAATGCATGATGTAACTGGTTTTTGTGTGTTTGCTGGACAGGTCTAGTATAAGGAATATTTTTGCTCAGGTGCCTGAAGGAACAAAAACTGGAGTACTCTATACTAGTATAGAGTGCTGAAAGTACTATATAATGACTGCTGTAGCATATGACTAACTAGCAGCCTGTAGTGTCATGCCTGCTTTATTCCCACACCGTGTGTTGTCTTTGTATTCGGATACGTGTTTAATCTTACATCTCTCCCTCGTCACGCTCTCTGTTCCCACTTTCATGTTTTCCTCTGTCTGCCTTCCATACATAACAAGATGACACCACCAGCATCTAACATCTGACATTTAGTATCACGATACTTGTCCTGCTCTGAAACAACACTCCCCTAGAAGCTTGGCTTTCATTTTCCTGTCTGTAATGGCTGTGAGGATGAAGGTTGACGTTAACCCTGCTCTAATTGGCTCGTTGTGTGCGCAGGAAGCTAGCGGCCGCCGTTAAGCTGGCTCAGGCCACACAGAACAATGGCACCCTGAAGGGGTCTAACGTGTCCTGCCAGTCTTCAGGGCTCCTACCCCAATGGTAAACACCTAACAGGTCTACACAGAGCTCCCAAAAATGCCTTAAAAATAAAGCTTCTGTATCGGCGTCTGTGGTTCCGTGAAGAACCCTTAACATCAGTGGAACCTTTGCATTGCACAAAAGGGTCTTTATACTGGAAAATGGTATTGAAATGTTCACATGAACCCAAAATGGTTCTTCTGTATCTGCAAAAAACCCCTTTTGGAAGCTTTATTTCTAAGAGTGTAACACTAAATGTGCAGTGCATAGAATTAATTATTGCAATAAATGCATTTCTTAGCTAAATGATTTTTAACCCCGAGAATAACGTTCTAAAACACACTCAAAAAGCATTTGTCCCACTTTTTATCAGGTGTGTTTAACTGCTATGTAACACATTAATTGTCTGGTACAGTGTACTTATTGTGTTCATGCTGTAATTAATTTCATGCTGGTATTTTAAAATGTAAGTGCAATGTAAAAATATGTATGTACACAGTGAGTGCATTGTATCAAGTGATTCATTTAAATATTAGTACATAGTACTTAAATACTCTTCTTATAAAGTGGGTCTGTCCTGTGTAAAAAATCATAGTTCATCATGTTACATCCATAGTGTGGGAACCATTTATGTCTGTATCCAGCAAGCCCGTCTCATTCACCGACAGGCTTTCTGCAGCTCTTCAAACGGTCTTTAAAAGTCTTATTTCACTCTTATTTTCACTCACAGGTCTTAAATCAGAGCAGAAGGTCTTACATTCATAAAGTCATAAAGTATTAAATGTTCCATGCACTGCAAAAAAATAAAATAAAATAAATATCTTCCTCAGTATTTTTGTCTTGTTTTGCAAGACAAATATCTAAACATCCTTAAACCAAGATAATTTTACTTGAGATTCAAACTGAAGATATGAAGTCTTGTTTTCTTGATAAATGTAACACAATTAAATAAGTTTATGCATAAAACAAGAACAAATGTATGTCAATGAGCTATTAAAACCTGTTCTAATTAAGTAGATTTTTCTGAGCCCAATGGTAGATATTTATTCTTGTTTTAATCACAAACTCATAAAAAAAGACTTAATATCTTCTGTCATTTTGCTCCTCAAGTAAATGTAGTGTCTTAAAAAGTCTTAAATTTACCTTCATAAAACCTGTTATATGTCTCTATTGTTACAAAGAAAATAAAAGGCTATTTTAGTGTTTATTTTGTAGCTAAAACCTAGTTCACAGACATTCATAGTTTAGTAAGAGCCAAAATACTATTGACAGTCTGTAAAGCATTAAACTACCAGCCAAGAAAGTGGAGATATAAGAGGGAGAAAATGAGGGGGAATTGAATAGTTTTCTCTGTTATTGTCATGACATCTCTGGATTATGTTATTGCTAACCGATGAAACCGCTGCTGTTCCCAGGATGCTCTCTGCTCAGGACGGGCACAGACACGCCCGCTCACAGACCATGCCCATCATCAGGGGGAAGAACGCCCTCACCAACCCCAAACTGCTGCACATGATGGAGACAGGTAACACACACTCACCACAACCACCTGGGAAAGCCTGCGCTGTGTGTTTTAGATACATACGGCAAAATTACAATCACTGAATTGAGTCAAAATATGTGTATCATAACTGTATTGTGTGTGTTTGTTTGTTTGTGTGTGTGTGTGTGTGTTTGTCTGTGTCTGTGTCTGTGTCTGTCTGTGTCTGTGTCTGTGTCTGTGTGTGTGTTAGATGGAAATGCATCTGAAGGAGAAAACGTCAGCCCCACAGATATTGAAGCCAATCTTTCTACTGAAGTCGCTCTGACCGTGTTGGATGTTCTGGATCTGTTTGTTCATCATCACAAGGTAATATTGATACGGATTTATGATGTGGAATTATATCCCAGTATACACTCTGAACATATTATCCCACACAAGAGAATACATACTTACTTGTAATGTCTGATTACTTTTTCTTAGGGAATTAATTATTACTAATTCATTCAGGTGACTCAATAGTGTAAGTGGGTCCGTTCGCAGACAGAGATCCTACATACTTCATATTTACTAGAAGTATATGAATTGGGATTAGTGCTTGATGATATATCTTAAAAATCTTTAAAAATTATTTTTGTAGTCTGTTGCGATATTTAATATCTTACGCACAAACATGAACACTAGGAGAATTTATATGAAAGTATATGTAAATATTTTCATATGGATCAATGACAAGGCAGGGTGTCGGAGATAATAAAAAGGAGACACTTTAGAAATCTATGAATGTTGTTTTTGTACATTTTTTAAACAAAAATGTTTAAAACATTTTCTACAATTTGATTTTAAGACTCTAAAAATGACAGGTTATGTAACCATCAAATAAGAAATACATAAAAATGAAAGTACAAAAATACTTTAATTGTACCTGAAGTGTGCGCAATTAAATTGTTATTTAAAATAAATCAAACATATTTTAAAGATTATTTATTTAGCACTGACTTTGATTGGGTGGACAAAAGTATTTCAAATATTAGTAATATCTCTAAACAAAAATGCTTCACAAGATTATGTTAAACTACATATGCCAACATTAACTTAAGTTTAATATCAATTTAGATATCAATCAATTATGCTATTAAAATGTCTGAACACTGTCCTATTTGAGAAAAAATAGATGAATTGCAAAAGTATGCTACTGGCCAAAAATCACTGCAGTATTCACAATCTGTCTGTATCTGTTCAATTCATTCTGATTGTAAGGAGGTAATGTTGCCATCTAGTGGACACATGCTGCACAATCAGCTTGTAACACTCCAAAGAGAAAGGAAAACTTGAAATCGCATCATATGACCCCTTTAAGATGACTAACTCCTGCTGTCTTCTCTTCTACTGCAGAAACGGTTGCAGCACGATGAAGGGCAAAACTCTCTGATGAAAAAAGTGTTTGACACGTACCTGCTGTTCTTCCAGATCAACCAGTCCACCAGCACCCTCAGACACGTCTTCACCGCCCTGCGCCTCTTCATTCAGAAGGTTTCACTCTCTCTCTCTTCATAAATGTTCAAATCTTTGTTCTTCCCACCAGTGGCAGCAGGGTTGCCAGGTTTTCACAAGAAAACCCGCCCAATCGCTACCCAAAACTAGCCCAAAACTAGCCCAATCGCGTTTCGAAGGGCTCTCCAGTTTTTTGGTGGGGTTCCCCTGCTAAAATTCACATTCCAGGGGATAAATATCATGTTATTGGAGTCGCTTCAACCTGCCGACATGAAAAACAAGCTGCGGCAACAGTGTTAAAGTAGCCCAATTCCGCGGGAAAACCAGCTTCCCCACGAGTGGGCGTGGTTTCAGCACCGACAGCAGACACGCCCCCAGCGTTTGAGAGCAGAGAATACTGCTTATTTTTTCAAGATTTTGATACCTTATTTTATTTACTTGCCGGGTTTTTTTATCATTCAAATTTGGCTGGGTGGTTAATAACACATTTTTCTATGGTGTGACAAACTCAGAACACATATTTAATATTGCTTTACACAGACTTTAATATGGAACAACCGTCCCCTTTTCACAGTGAAACAATGGAATTCACCCATTTTCTGATTTCTAGGAGCTAAGCACTGACGGTGCGTTCTGTTCAGGAGTCTATGGCAGCCCATAGAACCGCTTGTGGGAAAGTTATGAGATTTGGCACACAGATAGAGGACAGTCTCAACATTAATCATCGCAAGTTTGGAGTCTCTTACTTAAACTCTCTAGCGCCACCACTTGTCCAAAGTTTCACACGTGTTCATGCTAATAATTTTTGAACCGTAAATTTCAGAAGCAAAATTATTTTTTTCCTCTGATTCCTTGGCTCATGCCATGTCAAATGCATGTCAAAATTTAAATTTCTATTGGTCAAGATTTTTCAAAAAAAAAATTTCAAATTTTCAAATATACGAAAAACCTACTTTTTCAAACTCATTCTAGACAGTTTGTCTGATTTTCACCAAAATTGGCTCAGATCATCTTCAGACCATGTTGGCAAAAATTTATGGAATTCAAGTTGATTAGTCAAACCGTTCTCGAAAAATGCTCAAACTAATTTGATGAAGAGTACACCAAATGGACATGAGGTTATATCTCTGCAATGCTTTAGTGCAG